TTGATGATGAAGTCAAGTCACCTGTTAGGAGTTTGGTCGTCTCTCGGATGATAAACGATTCGTGCCAGCTCTTCTTCTGGATGATAGTTCAGCGCTGCTTCACCCCGAACCGGATTGCCAAGCCACTTTGCCCAAGCCTCTTCCAAGTTGATAAGAGCTTTTGTTCTTCGGCTCAATAGAGGGACCAATCCACTGACATCCCGAACCACGTTGACGGACTCGACTTTGAATCGAAGGAGATCATTAAAATATTCAAAGAGTGCTTCATCATTTTGAAGGTGAAGTGGTAGGTTTTCGATTATCAAGGTGCGCAGAGGAACGGATGAATGATGGGCAAGACTGAAGATCGGTTTAGTTTCGATAAATCTGAGATAGGTGATCTTCAAGAATCGCAACAAGAGGAGGCTGAAGAAGTAGGTAAAGCCAAGATGGACGCAGTGATAGAGTGTGACGTTCTTTGTGAGATCGGGCCAGTTGTATTTATCATCGCTGAAGAGGAAGTTGAGTGGCTGGGCTACTTGTTCGCCGAGTGATCGAAGTAGTTTAGGTGAAGGTGGATCAGGAGGGACACCTTCTGTTGTGCCGTTTTCATGGATGTTGATGGGGACGAGGAAGAGGAAGGCGAAGATTGTACAGGTGAGAAAGTAAAAGAAGCCAAGTTTGAAGAAATACAGTAGCTGGTGAGGAAACAAGACCAGATAGTGAGAAAATCAATGAGTATATAAGGATATATAAATATGTATATCATTGTATTTTTTATTTATTCAGATTTTGCTAGAAAACACCTACCACAACAGCATCAAGTCCGACGATCTGTAGTACGGTGTGTTCAGATGTCTTGAGGGTGGGTAAGATCCAAGAGAAGAAGCCAGACTTGAGGTGGACTGGATGAGGGGAGAAAGCTACGAATTGATAGGGGAATTTGAGGAAATTAATATTTCGAGGTTGGATTGAATTGAAGGAGAAGGACGTGAGACGTACAAGATAAATGAGTGCGGGGGGCAAAGGTCAAGGTGGAGCGTGCTCTCGAATAACAAAACGTGAGAAAAGCCAGTGAGCCGATTGCTAGTGAAAGTACGAGCTGAGTTTCGAACCAATTCCCGTGCTTGAGCCGATCTATAGAAAGAGATGATTATTATTTGGGGGTCTAAAGGAAAACTCAGAAAGGTGAAAAGAAAAGGAATTGGCCCAAGGAGACTGACTGTTTCTATCGACTGGACTACCTGGATTGATTGATGAAAGATTAATGATTAGTTTGACGGTGAATGAGAACAGTAAGAAACGAGTATGTAGGCTGACCAGGTGGAGCTGATTCATCTGATTGATTGAAGAGATGGGTAGGGTGGAATTCCATTAGAGGGTTACTACTACTAGTACTATTCATCTAAATCAGAAGACAGATCATTAGGTATGAGTCAGTGGGCATGTACTAGCAGGCTATCAATTGAACTGTGGGCTTGCTTACCCTACTTCCCATGAGTGCTGTTTGATTTTTCGGTGTTGATGGTGATCAGTTGGGTGGTCATCAGCGGTTTGTTTTGAGAAAGGCTGTGTTCCGATTAAAGAATTTATAGTTTGGCTGGAGACATGTCACCAATCTCGAGCAGCCTGTCAGGAACCTTTCACGGAATCTGCCTTTCTTGAAAGTCAACAGCAGTTCGATGGATTCCTTTGTTTCTGTGATGTTTGGCTTCTTAAGTTAAGCTGACTGACTGGCTCACTCCAGAACTTCTCTTGGCGTGAATAGTCATGACCCCATCAGGTCAATCCTGCATTGACATGATTCCTGCTATTCAAGATATATATAGACAGAGTAACTTACAAATCTCAAGATCGATGGTAAACTAAAAGGAGTTCGTTCATACATATCTCGGTGAAATCGACAATCCTAAGGCTAAACCCCAAATCAAAACCAATCCAAATCATCACTTCAAAGTACTCAACCGCACTTCTCACCATTCCTTCACTCCTGGTCACTCAGGGGGGGGGGGGCACACGACACATGAGGCTGCTGCCATTCCCTCTCACTCGATCCTCTTCAGATCACCTCCACATGAGAAATTGGTTGCTGCAAAAAATGGTTGCTTCAGATCTACATCCAGATCATCACGGCCAAATCGCAACTCGGAATCCAAATCATTTGAAAAAATCCAATTAGGGATCCTGGATCGGAACTGGCTGTTGACTTCATGAGCTCTTGATCTATTTACACAAAATGACATGTAATCAGAACCAAGGTTAGAGGGGGCACATGTAAAATTGGCCAGTCCCTGGAATGTGTATGATCAGCCAGTTTGGCTTTGGATAGTGATACATGCAGCTTGAAGTGGAGACTGATTTCATTTATGTATGAGCTTAACCTATTGAAAATTAGCAGCCATTAAAGGTTTGTAGTGCCCCAAATATTGCCTGATATTCTCTAGACCTTTGCAATCTCTGATCATGTGGACTCTTAAGCTTGAATCTTTGAGTGCCCCTAATATTCTGAAAGTTGTTGGTGACTGCTTGTCATCAAATGGCCTCTTGTAGGTCAGTTCACGTGAGGGAGGGGGATTCCAAATAGGAAATGATAATCAATTTGAGCACATTTTATAGAGGTGCTTACAAAGAACTTCAGTTCAAAAAATTGACAAGTTGTATGGATTTTTTAGAAACACCCAAACCCACCCATGTTTCCAGATTTCTGAAACCTTGTCTCAAAATTGGATTTAAATCCTTGATTCTGAAATTTAACATGATCAGTTTAGGGGAAAGAAACTTTTCACCAAAGTTTCATATCAGGCCACCAGTCCAAATCAAATGTGATGGCAACTGAGAATTTATCTAAACAGATGACTTCAATTCAGAGAGAGGGCACCATTCATGAGTGAAAATAAAGATACATTACAATCACATTGACTCACTCCAAAAATTATATTTTCTCATTATTCAGTTCCTCCTGATTCTTACTATGTAGATGTTGGTTTAGACTCAAAAAGGTCTAAATTTCTTGTTGGAAAATCTCATCCACAAGGCTTTTACAAATCCATTTCCTTTATAAATACATATCCACAGGTTTTGAAGATCTCAATGTGAAGTCCTCCATTCCTCTGATTGAGATCTGAATGTGCTTATCTCTCAAGAATTGAATGTGCCAACATGGAACTTTCTCCTCTGGGATTTTTTTCCTTAATCTTAGAATCAACAATTGAAGATGGATCTTCAATTATGCCTTTAAAATGAAAAACATGTTGATGTTTTTTCCAGTCAGTAAGTTTTTCTTCTGTGGAGTATACCAGAAATTATCTGATGACTAAAGTACCCAATGATTGGCAAAGATCCATCTTTAAGCTTTCAACTGCAATGACACTGTCAGCTTGACCATAACCCACTAACACTCCATGTCTTACCCCTCCAATTGTATTCCTGCTGCAATGATCAGGTCTCATCATGCCTACCCATCTTCATAATTCTGACCCCAATCCAACTCTGATGAAATTTGGTCTGAGACCAGGTTTTTAATGAAGAGAACTATTCTCATGAATCAAAGAAGACTTTATCTGAAGAGAGGATGCAAGGCTATCTGTAGCAGACAGGATAGTTAGGGTACCTCATATCAATTTCCTTAATGACTGGTGGTCAATTTCTCAGAAGATGTGACAAATACTATTATACACAACTGAGGGCTGGAATGTGGCACATCAGGATAAACATATTGAATGTTCATGGGGGATAGAAAAGAAACAAGGAGCCCAGAAGTACAAAGTACCAGAATAAGTGTTTCCCCCAAGTTTAATTCCACCATAAACAAACCTCAACCCACCCAACCTGGCTCCTACAATTATGATCAATCAAAAAGTCTTGTTACTACTTAAATGAGCCTTCCAAAATAATTGCACAAATTTCCTCAAAAATTTCTTGATGACAGTGGTCATGATTGTCTCTAAGCAATTGTTTGCTCAATGAGACAAATCACATTTCAAAACTCAACAGGGTCTCTGAAATCCTGAAGAGTCCAAAGTGTCTTGTCAAGATCTGGAGACCAAGAATTTTTTGCTTGAACTTGTAGTTGAAGAGCCTGGCTTTTTACTTCCAAAATGGCACAAGTGTCTCTATGGATTCATGGAAGCAGAATGCAGCTTCTAGCTGGCCTCCATTACATGAACCTGGTTCAAAACAACATCTTCAAAAGCCTAGCTACCAAGAATTAATTCATTGCTGGAACAGAAAGTACACCATTTATCATCAGTTTGAACACCTACACTGAGAAACTGTTCAATGTGATTGTGTTATCACAGTTTCAGTTCAGTTTCTGATTCTTCTGCATGTATTTGAATGATTCTGGAATCTGCCCTTAAAATTCAATTGGGTGAAACAGCCTGTGTCATGCTACAATGTGTTTTCTAGGGTTCCATTCCAAAATGTTTGAAAACAAAAATCACGAAATTTCACTCAGAAGGGGAAGGTGCAGAAAAAATGAAGGACTAAAAAGTGAGTTTGTTATAGGCTTTGAGAAATCAGGAAATCAAAAATGTTATCAAAGTTCTGGGGCATGGAAGACTCTTCATCAGGTTTCTGTCGACCACAGGATGAGAAAACTCTGTGGAGTACAAATATGAGAGTTCAAGTAAAGCTGTGTCTTTTTGTGCAAGTTCTATCACGTTGGGGGGCACGGAAGCTTGGTTTACCTTCACCCGACTGGCCGCAGGGTCGAGCTGGTGGTAACTTTTTATCAGAATATTTTTCAACTTAAACAACGAACACCTTCGTCAAGGACGTTTCATCATCAGTTCTTCATCACCTCGACCCAGGAATTCACAGATCCCATGAGCTTGGATCAAATCACTCACTTCACATAGCAAGAAACTCAAATCACATATACCCGGATCTACCTGAGCAAAGACTACATAGCTGGTACGAAGATGACGACTGAAACCGGCGTACAATTCACCGGTCTGTTGAAACCAATGATGGCTGGTGCGATGGCCGGTACGACGGTCGATCTGTTCTTTTATCCGATCGATACCCTCAAAACTAGATTACAATCTCGCCAAGGTTTCATCGCCTCGGGTGGCTTCAAAGGTGTCTACAAAGGACTGGGTAGTGTTGCCGTGGGAAGCGCACCAGGGGGTCAGTTCCATCTTCGACTCGCTTCGATCTAAGACGAGACATGTTTTTTCCGTTCTGCCCAAATTGACTGATGATTCCTGATTTGATAATTTATTTACCTACCGATTTACTCGTCTGTCAACGCAAAATCGATATATGTAGCTGCGCTCTTCTTCACGACTTATGAATATTGCAAACGATCGATCATCCCGAGCTTATTCCCTTCCCTGTCCAGTCCAGTGGTCCATATGATCGCAGCTTCACTAGGTGAGGTGGTACGTTGTAATCCTTGGTAATCAATATTACCTTTTGGGTTTGACATTGTGAATCAATCTTATAATGTCCAGATCATGTTTCTATGATCCCATCTCCTCGCTCGTCAGGCCGCCTGTTTGGTTAGAGTTCCTACCGAGGTCGTCAAGCAACGTCAGCAAACTGCCGCATACGGCTCGAGTACTAGTTCGGCTCGGGCGCTACAATTGGTCATTCAACAAGGTGGATTCAAGTCTCTTTATCAAGGTTTTGGGATTACCATCTCGCGAGAGGTTAGTGTGGATTCCTCTGGAGTCATGTTTTTTCTTATTAACTATTAAGAAAAGCTGGTTTTTGCAGGATTAGTGCTTGATGTATTTTCCTGTCCATAGGTTCCATTCTCACTACTACAGTTCCCTCTGTACGAAAGGTTGAAGTCTCAAGCTGCCGAGAGACGCTCCTTACCTTCATCCGACCAACTACCTGCGCATGTCTCTGCGATATGTGGGAGTATTGCTGGTGCAACGGCAGCTGCGTTGACCACTCCTCTGGATGTGATCAAGACTCGAATCATGCTCACTAAGCAAAGAGATGGAGCACGAATTGGAATTCCGGAGAGTTTTGCTCGGGTCTATCGAGAAGAAGGATTGTCAGCATTTTGGAAAGGGGTCGTACCACGTACAATCTGGATTGGATTGGGCGGTGCTGTGTTTCTAGGAGTCTATGAATTATCTATTCAACAGCTAGGAACTATAATTTGAATCAAATCCTCTTCTAATCTTCACAAGTAAGCACTTTGGAAGATAGCCACCCAATTAAGCTAGGACTGATTGTCCCACTACTCCAGAACCTCAGTTATACCTGCCTGTTTTGAGTATTTAATCTGGTTGCTGCTTAGAAAAATGTATAGACATTTTGACAGATGCAGTGCACATAGAAGCTGATACTGTAGGACAACTTGATAACATGTCAAAAGAAGTATGCCCAGGATGAGCTGTGAGACTAATCAGTATTGTTAGGATGATACACATACCTCCCTTTACCACCAGCTTCTCAAGCTGAGGAGTGGTTATCACATCTTCAGAGTTCTACCGGACTTTGTTCCTTGACAATCAGCAAAATCTGTATCACTGCAAGACAAGCAGATGGCAAAAAGCTTGATAGCTGTCTGAATATTGCAGGTGGTGAATGCTGTTTCTGAATAAGTGATTCTTTAATTCTTGAGTTTTTTTTTCCCTTTTTTCTATCCTGAAAAAACAACTCAACAAAGTTTGCACACTGCCCAAGAGAAAAAAGCCGGCTCTTTCAGGCAGCAACTCCCCTTCAAACAGAGCTGAGCTCCTGTGTCACCTCAATATCGTCAAACAAAGGTCAAACAATCCAGAATTGACTGTAAGGGAATCCTTTGGTTTTCTCCAATTTTAGCAGTCAACAAGTGAATCCCTAAGGGTTCTTTTGATTTCACCAATACATCTGCATATCTGGAAATTTGAGGCTCTAAATTCAAAGTGGGGGACCCACAGATTCTGATGGGAAGTCCTCCATTACACTCACACATTAGTTAGCATAGTCACAGCATTCCCACTGTTGGAATGGCACTGGTCTCTCTTCTTGCTTATTCATAGCCAAAAATGATATCTAAGTTTGCTTCAAAATTCAAAATAATGGCAGAGATGTAATCACAGTGAAACTTTACACACTTTGTCATGGACAACTTTCATAAAATTAACAGGAAAGAAAGTTAAAAAAAAACTTGAAAAAATGTGGAAGCTGAAAAATGTGGTAGAATTGTTTCTAATTGATTGAGATGCTCTTTGCTTGACTGTTCTTGACTTTGGGGACAGTTACTTCAAGAACGCCATCTTTGAAGGATGCTTTTATTTGTTCGTGGCTGACCGAGGTAGGCACAGCGATGGTTCGAGTGAAGTTTCCAAATGTGCGCTCAGATACCTGAGTGGTTGATGAGATTGCAGTCAGTATGTGTATTGTAAAAGCTATTTGGGTATGAATAACTTACTCGAACACTGCCACTGGAATGATTGGAAGAAGACTTGGTTTTCCCAGAGATAGATAATCGGCCGTTGTGAAGGTCTAACGAAATATCCTCTGCATGAAGTTTATCGATCTGTGTCAGAAGTCATTTCATTCAGGTCAGGAAGCTCCGAGGGCACCAACCTTTGCGGGCACCAGGCAGTTCAGCTGAGATGATGAAGGCATCCTCTTTTTCGATAACATCCATTTTAGGACGCACGGTTTTGCTCACCGGACTTGTGCCGGATGTTGAGAGATGACGCTTGCGGCTTTGTTGTGATGAGCCGTTCGGAGGAGCACCGTAGCGTTCGGTCATCATTTTGTCAAGGAGGGATTCGAAATCTTCCGGTTGATTGGGAAAGACGAGTGAGTAAGACATCCTGGGTTGTTGTAGTTCCTCTATGGAGTTCGACGAATAAAGAGCTGGAGCCGTTGTATGCGACCATGTGTTGTTGAGCTGCATCGAGGTATGAGGGGCTCTCCTTTTATAATGTTATCTCATCAAGACATTTCCCCATTGAGGAGAATGCAGCAGTCATGGATGTCCGCCGGAACACTCTCGAGCGTGCTAGGTTGATTTTGGATGGCAAACTTCCTTTCCAGCTCGGCGGGGATATGGATGTCTCTAGACCGTCCCTATCGCCTCTCGAACATTCTACAACATTCCCAACCATCCAACCCAGCTGGCCAGTGGCCACTCGCCGCCACGACGACTCGACACTGGAGTCGTGTTGCTCCGCTAAACATAGAGACCTTGCTGGCCTCTCCGCACTCCGGGGTTCTCGCACCAGAAGCTTTGCTACTTCGAAGGAGGAAGCTGGTTTCAATAAACAGACTTTGGACACTGGCCTTGCTCTTGGACTTCAAGAAGGGACCATGTCTGAATGATTCACCGGATGTCGAGTACACTTCACACATTTTTGTACTACAAACTGTCTTTGTGCCGGCCGGAATATAGGCTGGAACAGGCCGGCCACACTAATCAACGCAGTGTGCAGCCTTGTGCAGCGCACACCGGGCGGTGCAGCTGCAAAGCCCCCTCATCATTGTCACCAATGACCACTGTATCCATACATAAATAAATGACAATGCGGCTTCGCGATTGCCTGAAGAGGCTTGGGGACCAAATCTAAATGGTGGCTTGAAGACTTCTTTAACAGCATAAATAGCGGTAGATTGGCATTGTCAGACCCAGTCTTAGCCACCGAACTCACCCAGGCGGATTACATCCTCGACCAGTTGGGATCCCTCTCACCTTCACATCCTCACCTGACTGTCTTCGCAAGTCCATGGAGCTCCTGATCAAATCTACTCTTGCCCTACTGTTGACCTCAACTCTAGCGGGGCCTCTAGCTGTGCAGGGTGATGATCAAACAAATGCCTTTTACACATGCATAGCCCCCAACTTTCCCGAAGGTTATTGCGCTACCAAGCTGGCGCCGGATTCCCAGAAGAAAGTTTACTATGATGGTCAGTGTTAAGTGCATTTGAGAGAAGGTCTTGAATATCGTGGTGTGTGGAGACTAATCCTTGCTATAATCGGACCTCGTTACACAGTCCGGCGGGCAAATAGATACTTCGACAAGCCATTTCATTTTGACTGCCTCGGATCGAATAAAGAAAACAGATACTGTTGCAGGAGAGAGCTGAGAGAAATCAACGATCCACCAGTCAGTTGGATGCATAAAATTTCACAGTGTATGTGACTGATTTGTTTACATTTTTCATCCGATTTTCAGCCCGGAAAGTTTATAGTCGCTCAAGACGAATTTGAACACGGGCGCCCATATGACAATGTGCCCCCAGATTATGTCAACTGTTACGCGGCACCGGCGGACTCATGATCTCATTTGTTCAAGGCAAAACACAGTTCTCATTGTTGAGATCTTTGTTGATCAGTAGAATTTGATCCCTGATTGAAGGCTGTGAAATCACACCTGTTTTATTCTATCTCACACGGCCACCTCTTTCACTTTGCCCTTTTTGCAAGAATCCTGGGCACATAAACACATGCATGTTCTATTCAAATCTAGATGTGATCATTGACTTTTTAAGCTTGCCTGTGCACAATTCAAATTGCCCAATCCTTTTGAGTTGAGTGCAGTGCTACAAAACAGACCTATCTGAAAATTCAGTTGCTTCCCCCTTAATGTGCCTCACAAGGTTGGATTCAATGATAATGTGACTCACATTCTTCAGCTCTATTTGGAAAATCAAATCCATCCATCAATTCCAAATTCACATGACCAAACCTCTGATACAATAAGGCAAGATGAGAAGTTGACTTGGGTGGTTGGTATAAGTTATTTATTTTTACTTTGAGTTTTTTAGGGTTTTTGAAATATTTTACAGCTCCAAATTGTACAATAGTATTGTCATTTTAAAACTTCAGCTCTCAAATTTCCATGGAACAGACAGAACAAACAAATTGTTTTCATGGAGTTTGTGACTGTTTCACAATCTTAGGTGTGCATAACAATAAGTGGTAACATGATTGTTGACCATTTTAGGAAGCAGCAGTCAATAGAAGGTCACACACACAATTTACAAAGAATGAAATTTTATGTGTCTTGTAAGTGGCTCTTATGATTTCTAGGGGGGTAGTAATCTTCTCTCTTGATCTCTACCCTTATCCATTAGCCTGGTTCACAATAGCCAGTTCCAATGGCTGATTAACTTGTTAAAAGTTGCTGATAGCAAATTTTTTTTTGGATTGATCTGGAATAATCTGGGGGACTCTGGGCCACACATTCAAAAATGGATGTGTTTTTAAGTATCAATGATTTGCTGATTGCAGCTAAAAATTTTGCTTATGACTGGCTATTGTGAACCAGGCTATTCCACATTGATCTCTCCCCTTATCTTCACATGTTGATGTCACTGACACTCCTTGTGACCAATTGTCATGTTTTATTCATAATGCTTGATTGAAAATGTTGGTTTTTCCCAAAAATTCACCATTGTAATATGTATTCTGTCATTTTCATTTAATTATTATTATTAACAATAGTAATTAAATCAAGCAGTGGTTAGTTAGGTTATCAGTTCTTTTTAAAAAAATGTTCTTAAACTTGAGATTAGGCACCAAATAACTAAACCCATAATTTGGACCAAAACAAATGGGGTTTTCTCCTGAAATTTTTCAAATTTATTCAAATTTTGATCCAGTCACATATTTCTGATCACTGACTTTGTGAGAAAATTTGGTTAAAATGACTTAATGTTAATCAAGTGAATGATTTCTGTATTGCTTCTTTAAATGTGGGTGAAGTAAAAGTATAAGAAAGGGGAAATGTTTGGGGAATATCAGTGGGGTTCACAATTGAAATTTTTGCTTCTGAGTTTGATAATTAAACAATTCTCTGATAAGCATAAAAGTAGCAAACTCAGCAGACCAATTGACTTACACCCTTGCTAAAGGTTGTCAAAGTGCTTTTAAGACCTAGACAATCAATTGTAAATAGGCCTGATCACATCATTTTGATGTGTTTTGTAAAATACACTTTGACCAGTGTTGCAAGAACTTCTGAGTTTCACAATGGTATTTTCTGGCGAATCCCAATTGTGAGCCCTGCCATTGGAAATCCAACTCCATTTTCTCTCAAAAATCCAAAAAACCACATTATTCTTTTCCCTTTGTAAAGGTGCACATGAAAAAAGCTGACTGGAAATACCCACTGTTTCAGAATATGTAAGTGTTCAAGTGAGTTATATGTTACCCAATGAACATTATCAGTCCAGTTAGCTTCTGATCCTGAGACCAAAACATTATCCTTGCCCCAGATTTATTAAAAGCAGAATTTAGCCCAATCAAATAAGTACCTAGGTTTTATACATACTCAGTATAATGGAGGACTTCCTGTTCCTCCCTCTATTGTCAATTTTCATTGTCATTTAGGCTTTTAGCCCTCCAAACTTAAAGTCTAAATGCTGATGAAAATCAATTGACACCAATCTCTCACCACCAGATGAAATATTAAATTCAGCTTTTCCGGGTCTAAATCAAAGAATCAATACAAATGAGAAGTTCTCCACTGTGAGCTTTGCCAATCATTTCTCTCTCTTTGGTCAGTTTTCCAACAGGACCTCCTCTGTAAAAAAGGGGGGGGGCACTTGAGTGGAACTGGAAAACTTTTTGCCAATAGGGAGAAATGAGCAGGTACTACTACTAGGTAGAGAGAGGGCCAGTGAGGAGATAATATCTCACTGGAGTGGTTCAATTGTTGGCAAAAAAAAGGTAAGGAAGAAGACAAGTGTCACCATAATAGCTGATGAATCACACTAACCAGGGTCATTGACTACAATAATGTTGATCAGACATGCAAATATTTAGATGAAAAAAGGCTATAATGATGAGGTTAAACATGGGTAATGAAACAATTAGTAATTTGCTTTTTTGGGATGAGTAAAAGACAACAAAATTCCAACAGAAAAATTTATTCAAGTTGAAAAGTTGTGATTAAAGAAATGATTTGAGACATTCCTGAGAGGAGAGTGGAATTTATGAATTCTTTCTGCCAAATATGCATAGAGGAAATTTGAGTTACTTCCTACCTGGTCTCAGCAAGTAGTCAATATTTAGGGAAGAGTCTGGTAGTTATAGCATGTAACCAATAACTGATGAAGATTCCTCCTTGTTGGCTACACACACTGTTGTTGGGTGTCTTGGGTTTTGATTGCATGCTTCATGAAGAAATTTCGGTGAAGATATTGCCCAACAAGAAGAGGTGGTTTTGAAAGCCTCCCAGTCAAAAAAAAAAAAAAACTATCAATCCCCAAGTCAAGGGCTTGGTGCAGTTTGAGATTGAAGGATTTATTATTTGAAGATGCTCAACCCTTTCAACTGGCAAGTGGGAAAGGTCAACAAACTGATTTCACAAGAATTGCAATCAGTGACAGGCAGCTTGATCAGTGACCTTCCACAATGCTGTTTATGTTCCATTTTTCTCTCCCCAACTGCAACGGGACATAAATATCTACAACAGCCAATCAAGCAAGACTAAGCCAAAGACTATGGATCCAAACAACAAAGGGCTCTATTGGCCCACTTTCTTTGAGCTGGTTGCCCAATGTGGGTCTGAAATCTGGTACATCACCCTGCTTTGACTCTCATTGCTTTGGACTGCTGGGATTGAGCAATGTGTACTCTGGGATCTGCCCCCTCGAGTCAACTTTGGATTAGTTCAACTGAGAAACTTAGGAGGATGAACTTTGTCTGTTTGAATGTCATAAATGATTCATAAAGTTTGTAGATCAACTGCGAGAGCTCATAGGACCAGTCATTTGCTATGTCACCTTGGTCTTTGCTCAGTGTTATACAGGTATTGAGATCCGAAGAACAAGTGCCCACAATTAGGTGAGTCACCAAGAGTTTAGAGTCTCTTGATAAACATTAGTTCCTTAGCATTAAATCATTTGAAAATTTCTTCAGGTTCAAATGCAGCACGAGCTAGACAGTCAGAAAATATCACCGTTTGCTTGGGATTTAGCTACGGGACTCAGACCTGATTGGCGATTGATTTTAAGACAATTCCAGAGTATGATCTCACACAACGCTGTAACAGATATGATACACTGTGTGTATCATGGAGAATTCTGCAAAGCTGCACGGCCAAAAACCAAATTTGTTGAATCTCCTTGCAAATAAAAGCAGACTGGTCAGATAGTTTCTTTATTGGGGCTCAGATACATAGTGATACATGGCAGATACTGTATCTGTTTCAGCGTTGTCTCACATCAGTTCTTTTAATCATTGAAATTCTTACTACCGGGGTTGATCTTCTTTTTTAAGTTTCTTGAATGGTTGTATTCATCATCCAACACCAGTCGCTATTGGCCATCATTCTCAAACTCCAACGGGACTCAATTCCCAGCCATTCAACCCCCAGTTCCGTTAAAACCTCAATTCAAAGGTATTTTGGGAGATGGGACGGCCTTAAAAAAACTGATCACCAAGGGAAATTGCCCAATCTGCCGGACAAATTTGTTCAATCCAACAGCTGTTCCGAGTGGTCGGGTGTACTGCTATAAATGCATACATCCTTATGTGTTCGAGTTTCAACAGTGTCCTTTCACCCACTTTCATACAAACTTGACTAATCTACGAAAAACAATTGGTTAGTCAGGCCCATAGAATCTGAACGATCAAACACATATGATATGTCATGTGAAGCTGGTTACCATTTTGGTTTTTTTATCATCCAAAAAAGGTGGTATCCACATTATTCTCATCTCTTGCAGAAGAATTGAATTAAACTTGGATTAGTCAACTGAGAGGATCAGACTAACCATTGAATTTTTAATGCAAGATATTTGGGAAATGGGAGTATCAATTGGGTGTGAAAGACCCTTAGTTTGAAATTCAAAAGCCTCAAACCTCAGGTGGTTTGGATGGCTAGCACGGAAATCTGAATTGTCTGCAGTACTAGAAATATAAACATAGCAAAGGCTCAATTGCAGAGATAGTGTTGATATGTATACATCAGGATATATAGAGCTAAATTTCATATTGTATGATGGGTGTACAAATGAGGCCTAAGTTTCTTTCTTTTTCATTTAGTTTTCCTTTATTTCTGCTTGAATTGATGGACAATTTGACCATTTCAGAAAAGAACCTCAAATTCTAGGTTAAAAAGAAGGAAGCCAATGATCTTGCCATCTCCAGGAATTGTAGAAAATGTGTTCCAGCAATAGGCTCTTAAAAAAAGAAAAGGGAGCCAAAACTCACAGAACCAAAAATGTGATATTTATTATTTATAGATCCATTCACAGCTAACTTGAGAGATTGGGATGGAAATCTTTGAACACATAGAGCAATTCCACAGTTGTATAAACCAGAAGAGATTTAATAGTAAAATCAAAAGTTCAGGAAGAGGAATTTCAATCAGATAAAATGCTGTTATAAAATCAGAATTTGAATTTTATTGAACTTGAACAAATGGTTTGATCAAATCAAACCCACCAAAAAAGGTCAACTTGAGTTTAAATCCCTTTTTAAAAGATATTATGAATCCAACTGGCAAAATAAAATCAGGGTAGAGTAGGTGGAATCCAGTGAAAGGAAATTTGTAGCCTATGAAGGGAATCAAACAATTTTGGATGAGGGAGCAGCTAGAGAAGGAATAAGAAGATGTGACTTAAGCCCAAACCTGAAATCTCGCTATGCAAGAAATTTGACATAGGACATATGCTTATACTGGGGTGTACAGCTGTGCTGCTTTATCCCACTCAAATCCATGTGCACTGGAGGAATAATTTAGCTTGTGAATATCAGCACTTTGAGCTAGACAAGTTTTCTTGAGGCAGAACAATGAATGCTTGGGGCTAAGCCATTCTAACTTTCAAGTTTTTGCCCAGAATTTTGGTAAGAACTTCAATTTAGAATGGGCTTGATGTGCCATACCAACCTATTTTTTAACAAGCTTGTACAGCCTCTCTGTGGAACACACAAAGTGCAGGAGAGGCTTGAGTCCAAAACAAACACACTTGTGTGTCACAGTCAAGTTTCTTGGCTGTTTTTTGCCAAAAATCATAGGAAATTCAGTTTGCAAATTTTTTGAAAACTGAGCTGAGTTGAAGATGCCCAACATGGAGGTCTTGACTTCCATCAAGAAATTTTTGAAAAAAAAATAAAAACTACACAATTGAAGAATTTTTAAGGAAAATTTGCCAAATGAAAAGTTGGCTGAGCTTACATAAGCCAGTTTCAACCTCACTGCCTACCAGATGAGAGCATTTTCTCAATTTGACCAACTTGATAAAAATCCACCTCATCCAATTTTCAAGATAAATCTCTGAAAATAGAATGAGGTGAGAGGCATCACCAAGCTCTGAAAGCTTGTCTAATCAATCCCTGATGCCTGGTCATGTGCATGCTGTACATCCAGCTCAATGTGTGTTACACCAAAACTGCCCAACCGTGACACACGGGCATGTTTGTTTTTGTCCTAAGTCCCTCCTTTCACGCCAGCCAAGGCCACCAGGCCCTCCAAAGCAAGAGACTTTTATAAGTTTGATTTTTTAATCAGTACAAAGAAGTATCATTCTTATGGTGGTTGAAGTTGAACAGTATAAACACAAATTCAGATTTTTGCTTGCCTGAAACCAACACTGGATAATTACACTACCTGTGTTGATAAAGTTATGGAAAGGTAGCATATTTTGTCACTACCAACTTAACCCATAATTTTTCTTTGACTGCATTACTGTGTTGTATTTTGACCACTAGGCTACCCATAAGATGAAAGATGGATATTGATGTTGATTGTTTTGTGCTCTGTATATAACTCATATATCACATTATCTCCATTACTTTGTAATTTCTGAGGGAGGGGGGGTGAGTCCAAGTCTCCAGTTGTACTACTATTTGCTGTTTCCAAGAAAATTCCAGTAACATGCTGTTCTGTAATGGCAGGTTGTTACTTTCCTCAGATCCTCAGATGCATGAGATGATACAATGCATAGTAACCCAGTATTTCTGAAACCACTGGGGCATGATGAAACAGAAAGGGGCTGCTGAAATGTTCTGGAATGTGCTCAAGAAGCATCTTGAGGCATTATCATATCTGAAGTCTTCCTTTTGGGCACTGTTTCATGATGGTGCATCAGTAGACTGGGTGCATGTAATAATGAGCATTGTAACAGCTGGAAGAGGAATTGGGCTGCTATTCCACACTGAAAGAACACATTCATATGCTCTCCACTGCAGTGAAAAGCTGCTTCTCGCATTTTTTATCACTAAAAAATCTGCAGACTGGACACAACCCCTAGATTGGTTTCCACCCTGATTACAATACAAGCACATAGAATAAATATGGTACTTCACAGGATTTTTGTCACCCATTGCAATACCAGTGCAGGAAACATGGCTTAGTAACTTGATATATTCTTTCATTATGATAACAGCAAAGTGAATTGTTTCAAGACTGTAAAATGATAATCAAGGACGTTAGCATTCCAGCAAAGTGTGTCAGCCTCAATTGTAGCTCTTTTTTGTTTAGTATCCAAGAAACAATTCAGCTTCTCTAAGCCAATCCCAATCCATCCTGAGTGCTAATTCTCCACAGCCTCACCCGGGTTTGGGCAGTGATTCTATTATTCTGAGTGACAAAACCATGAGTATGGGTCAGGTATGGATGAGTCCTTGGACTTGTCATAAATCAAAACACATGCATCATTCTTTTTCTTCAAGAAGACTGGAAGTGAACCCAACTGAGAAAACAAATGATGGCATGAGCTATCCCAACCTCACAACAGAAAACACTCAAGACAAACATTTTTGATCAATGCAGGCTTCCACTGGAAATGTTTTGCCTCTGTTTGACAATCAGTTGCACTATGTTGGCAGTCATTGTGCAATCATAGGGGGACAAGGACAAGATGATTGTAAAATAAATATTATTAAATATGTAAGTATCAAATCAGTCCTTTTTTGCTCAAAATAAAATCATTGTACAAAGAAGATAGAAAGGGTAGAAAGGTTATGAATGGTGATGATGGAAAGATAAAAATAAAAATAACAAAAGCAAAAGCCAAAAACAGAGGAAAGGGGAAAGATGATCAGTTAGGAACAAGACTGAGTCCGACGCGTTTGAAGAAGATCTCCTCTTTCAATTTAACGACCTGTTGCCAACATTTTTCTTCCCATCCAGCCTCCATGAGCTCGAGACTAGACTGAGACTTTTGGCGAGATTGATGGCGAAGATGACAGCTGTTCTCGAAGCTAGACATGGGTGCCGAGCGGGGTGGATTACGGAGTGGAGTAGCTCCGTCGACATGTCTTTGGTCTCCATGGCCTGTTGTGTGAGCCGATTGAGCTGTACTTTCGCCACCTCCCAGCTGGTTAGAGTCAGTCACTTCTAGGGTCTTGAGGCTTGATTCAGGTCCCTCGCCAGTACCGTGACCCTTGGACAGCGTCGAGGGGAGGCCGCTTACAGTCTGTGACGGAGACCGGCCTATGATGCGTCTGAGAGCAGGGGAAGGGGCAGGAGATAGAATCGGTACCTCATTGCTAAGGACTGTTGGTCTGATGGTCAAGGATGTACCACAAGTATCAGTCTGGTCGGAATGATGAGCGTCACTTCCAGCGAGTTCTTGCATCATGTCGTGCTCAGTGGTAGAAGTCGGACTGGGTGATGGGGACAGTTGCGAGAGGTGGACTGGGTCTGGGGTTGGAGGAGGCTTCAACGTAGGATTAGATGAGTCTTGGTGAGCTTCCTCCGAGGGAATCGTTACTTGAGCGTCTATAGATTCTTTCGTCAATGATTTGCTTTCCTCAGGATTGGGTTCCCCAGAGATTTCAAAAGATAAGTCAGTCGGGTTTGAAGATTGAATTTGAAGGGCATTATTATCTGTGGTGAACGCGGAGGATTGAACGGAATGAGTTAATGGTGATGAGCCATCAACAGAGTCTATGCTACGATTTTGCCCTCGAATTCTTCTTAGTGCATGGTCGTAGGCAAGGCCCAAAGAGTGTGTCTCGGTGAACCGACTGCTCGCAGGAGACTGGTTGATATAATGTGCAAACCAAAAACTTTCATCTAATAGCACGCCACGTTCGAGTGAACGGACAAATGTCCAAAAGTGGCACACTGCCCTCAGCCGAGCCAAACAGTACGTGGGGCAGATGGGGTATCGGGTAGATGAGCCATCGGCAGTCTTGAGTGTGTGGATGTGCAGTGAAGCGGTGTCATCGAGGTTCGGAGTGCTACGACCGCTGCTCGGGAGTTTGAGACTGACTGAAGGCACGAGCGTTGACTTTTCAGCTGGTTGGGTTGAGGTGACGGGATGAGAGGCACGCTTTGGCTTGCCGATCCCCCCAAAGCTCCAGGCTCCGCCTCGCAGCATTTTGCGCACAGTGGAACCAGCAGTTGAAGAGTTACTACTAGCGACATGGTTGCTCGATCCGGTCGATGGTGCTCGAGCAGACAGCCAGGGGTCCAAGGAACAACCACACAGGGTACAATTCTCGAATCCTGATGCCTGACCGGACTCTGACCAGACAGGCTCGATAACCAGATTACCCTCGAGTAGTGCGTTCAGAGTAGCCCTCCGAGACATGAAATTGAGTCCTGGAGCCAGATCTAACCTCAGGGCCGGGTCGGAATCTTCTTCCAAACAGCGCTTGACAAAAGGCTGTGAAAGATGTTGTGTTAGAGGCAGAAGAGGTGCGATGGAGCCTTTGGGACCAAGAGCGGGTGCTGGTTCTTTGGATGACGAGAAGGATGATGATGACATGGACGAAACGGGACGAGATGAAGGTGTTGCAGTGATCCCAATGTTGGTAATGGCTGCAGCTGCAGAGTAATACGATTCAGTGAGACCAGGGGGTTGAGAGGAGCGAGTCAGAGTCTCTTCCCGGGTCCGACGCAAGTAGTGAACAAATTGCAGAAATTCGGTGAAGGGTATGGTTTCTTGGGACAATTTAAGCTGAGGAGTAGAGTGAAAGCCAGAGGCGCCAGAGATAGAGGAGTAGGGCGAGAATTGCGGGGAACGGGCTTGTTCGTTGTGAGGGATCGACAGAGGGTTGTTATGGAGGGGAGTGCCGAGTGATTCCCTAGAGTTGACGATCGAGCCGCTTGGAGATGATTTTTTCAAACTATCGATCGATGAGGTAGGGTTGATATTCAGGCCGGTGAATGAATCAGAATGAGAACTGTTGAGCTGATTTCTTAGGGTTTCACATTCTGCTTTATATTGATCGCGTTGAGACTCGGCGGCCTCTAAGGATAATCTCAAATGATTTGTCTGATCTCTTCTTGCTTCAATGACTTCTTCGACGCGTTTCATGGCTTCTTCTACTTCCATCACCTTACGTTCGGCTCGCATCCGTTGAATTTTTTCGGCTGCAACAAGACGGTTGGCTTCGGTGAACAGACTAACTGAAAGATCATCAAGTTCTTGGTTGATTGTGCTGAGTGATGCTTCTGATTGCGAGCGACGTTCTGATTCTAGAGTGACCCGCTGAGTGAGTCGTTGGAGTTCCAGTTGGACATTTGCCTGCCAAACAAAGGGAGCCGGTTAGATGGTGAGTGTCAAGAGATAGGGCTTCAGGGATAGTTCGGGGGGGAAGGGGTTGAGAGACATACGCGCTCGACAAGGATGCCGCCTTTGAGGGCCTCTTTATGTTGGGCTGATTCGAGCTCGAGAAGAGTGTTCTGTGGTAGGAGTGATGTCAGTTGGTGGGTGAGGGAGTGTAAGATGAGGAAAGAAGAGACAAGACAGACTCGGGCAACCAGTTTTTTGTTCTTTTCCCTTGATTCGTGAAGTTCATCCTCGAGGTTTGAGATTCTTTCGAATGATCTAACAAGCTGAGTGAGGGTAAGAGAGGAGACAGTCAGCTTGCCGAGAATCTGAGGTAGAAGAAAAAGAGAGTGAAGATTGATTGACCTTGAGATTGAGTTGATTGAGTTGGTCAGTCAATTCGGAGTCACCAGAGTCTTGCTCAGGTTGAATATGCTGAAGGGTTGATGGGATATGATTTGGATGAGAATGAATGGATGGGTCGGTGATGGTGACTGAGGAGGAGGCTGATGATGATGATGATGATGAGGGTGATAAGGAAGATTGAGAAGGTGGTGAAGAGAAATGGTGATGATGATTATTGAGATGATGATGGTGATTAGTACTATTATTGAAGCAGCCAGGAGGTTGTAGATTGTTATTGGTTGAAGGGGATGTTGTTCGGATTGTTCTGGTTGAGATGGTGGTCATGTCTGGTGGAGTTCAAGACTGGATGAAGATATTCAGTAGGAAGATCAAATGATGGTGGGGTTAGGCATCAAGCAGTTTAAGAGTCAAAAGAGAACGAGCCCTGCAGAACTGAAACAAACAAAGATATAAGAAGGGAAAGGAATGGAAAGGGCCTAGATAAAAAAAAACGATGATAATCGACTATGAGAGAAGAAATAAATGAGTTTGAAGGATGGATGAGATGGGAAAGAGATTTTTAAAAAAAAAAAAAAAGCAAAACAAGAAGAGAGGGAGATGAGGTAAGCTGATCGAGGCTCGTTCCCAATCAATCCGAGTGCGTTGAGACTGAAGTGCGAGGTGTGTGTTGTGTATCTTAATTTTTTGATGTTTTATTTCGGTTGGTTCGTTGAAGGGGATGAATGCGCCTGGGGTTCAAGATCAAGGGAGAGAAGGTCAAGAAGAATCGAAGCAGATGATGAGCTTTGCAAGGGTTGATCGGGGAAGCGTAGATGGTGAATGGGTTTATGATTCCGCGGGGAACAAGTCAGAAGTCTTTGGCTGAAGCTGAGCTGAGTTGAAGTTACTTCAGCTGGACTTTACTCGGGGGGAGGAAGGAAGAGGCAGCGGCAGACTCTGATCGAGACTGATGATTTATTTTAAAAGGCAGTTTTGAAGGTGTATGTACACACTCAGCTGGTTCCAAGCTGAAGCGGCGCAAGAAGATCCGGAGTGAGCTCATGGGAAACCTTAACCCTCAAGCTGACACATATACATACACATGGGGTGGTGCGACTTCTTCTTGATAACTTGCTTAAAGAGGAGTTCAACGGACGGAACCAATGTCCAAAGCCGGAGATGATGATCCCATGAGACATAAAAAAAACTTGGAGGGGCGCTGGTTTACAAAAAAAGGGCACTGCTTCGAGGCGGCTGTGTGTATTCATACAATTACATAGAAAAGGTGCAACCTCACAACTTCAGAGGCCATATAACATCCACTCTGATTTTCCTTAACGTATGTATGTAGCCAGGCGGCGATTTTGCACCCCAATCGACCATATATGCCCTACTACATAGGGTAGGTCGAGGTCGAATAGAGCCTATGTAGGGGGGGGTATACAGCCCTCGCAATCCCTCGCCCGCGCGCTTTACACAGCTGCCCATTTACATATGTACAAGCACGAAAGTGCCTGGATGGCTGTCCGATCCTCCACTAACAGCGGATCAGGCCCGGAGAAAACCCGACTGTCCTCACTGCTGCGGTATAACCCAACCTGGGTGAACCGGGACATTTCCACTCTTGCAATCTCCCTCTGTTCAACGTTTCACCCAGAAATCTACCCGCCACATCCCTTGCCCACCCCTTATCAATACATTCAACCTCAACGCTGATAGCCCAATACAATGCCTCCTTGCTCAGTTGTTCACATTCTCCCACCCCAGTATCAAGATAATTTTAACCGGGCAATTTTGGACACGCGCTCCCCTATCCCCAGCCTAAACCAACATGCTGCCATACTTCAAACCGGTACCACTGCTCCAATTATAGACCACCTTGAAAACTCTTCCAGTCAAACCCCTCAGCTCGATGTGCAAGTTCCTGCTCCACCACCTTCCAACTCTCTTACCCAACCACCATCCAAAAAGAGGAAACATACCGTCGAATCCAATGAGTCAATGCTACCACAATCAATTGATGTACTCCTCAAGAAGAGCTACAATGAACTCGTCACTCACGCCCAGGAGAACTCGAAGGGATCGATGTCCCAAGCCGACCGTGACTTTTTTCTTGAATTCTATGAAGAGCAAAGAAAGCTTTTGGCAATCAAAGCAATTGAGCACCAGCTCTCTATGCCAATGGTTGACGCCTTCTTGTAAGTTCTGTTTCCTCAAGCACCTTCCTACCCACCATTGCTCATTTGATAATTGTACCAACTCTAGGGGAAAGCGGCTCGCCCTCAAGGGGCCTAACTGCTGGAATCAGTTCCTCAAGACTCCTGAAGCTCGAGCTATCTTTAAAGAAAGTAAGTCATTTTTTATCATACTTCATCAGCTAAACTTCTCTTGCTAATCTCAACTTCAGCTGGTGGTGTCGATGACCAGTCAGCAATGAAAAAGGTTTCGGAATTGTGGCACAAGCTGACCCCGGAGGAGAAAAAAGGATTTGCCAACAAAATTGACGATGGATTGACGGACGAGGAACGCGCTCTTGATGATGACAATTCAGAGGAGTTGATTGTCCGTGTTGAGCCTGCTGCCCCATCCACTTCAGGAAAGGACAGTGTTCCGACTTCCGGACAGCTCAGTGTGAGAACCGAGGGCTCCTTCAGACACGACTACCTTGCTGTGCAAAACTTCGTAAATGACTTTGTTGCCAAGGTTTGTGTCCCTGTTATCATTCTCCGACACCCTGAAACATCTAACTCACTGGAATGATTTGTTTCTGCTGCAGGCCACTCACATTTCTGCAACCCACAACTCGCAGTTTGTGGTCTTTGCTGTATCAACGCACCTTGGCCCAAGCAGTTACCAAATCTCTCAATGTACACCCGGTGCCAATGTCTTCCTCACATACGCCAAGGATGTCGATGCCGAACATCACTATGCGGCCCGATTTCAATCACACATCACCGGATACACTGTTGCCCAGATTGCGGAGCTAGCTGACAAAACCCCCCAAAAAAATGTGAAGAAGCCCTCTCATGAGGTCAAGGTAACAGCTAGGATGACTGCTTTGATCAGTGAGTACCCCTGATTTTTCTCCTTTGATGTTGCTTGTTAATCAATTTGAGACTGACAATTCAACAGAGGCCAAAACTGAAGGGGTTGTCAAGCGATGGCCTTGGACTGACACTGTGTCAAGACTGGCGGAGATTGGCTTTGAGATAGTCTTGGCACCATCGGCCCGGATCAACTTCGACTGGATCACTCAACCAAGTCGTCAACTCAAAGTGGAGCATATCGACTTGCTCCATTTAGACTTGGACGATCAACTCATCGATATTTTGCGCATTCCACGTAACCTCGCTGGTGGGACTCGTCGGGCCCCAAGCCTCGAGGGGGTGGCCCCACAGACAATGCCACTGGTAGCCTGAGCCAAGCAGGCAATTGGACCAACAAAGGAGGCGCCAATGACTAAGTAGCTTCTCCCTGGGGCCTCACATTTATCCTCATCATGTTTTTCATCGCTTCCATCCACTCTCCTGTCCTGTCCTGTCCTTGCTGTTCTTGATCCAGCTCCTTGAATAGTGTTATCTTTTCTGCTTGTTATCTCATATCTTGTCTCTCAGTTCCTTGATTATGCTTGCCTGTTTGTTCAATTGTGACATTGAAACTTCCTGCTATTCACACTCGCCTGTGGGATAATGCAGTCAGCTGTCCAGTAGACCAAGTCTGAAGAGGGAGGAGAGTGACACTTGCCCCGGTAAGTTTCACCCTCCTTCCTGGAAGCCAGCTAGGCTAAAGCACTACAATGGCTTTCCTCGGGGGAGAGGTGTACACGGCCAAGAAGGAAGCCACTCTGTCCTAAGATAAGAATCAATAAGATACAACCATATCTTTACTTCTGGACTGGTGTTATGTCATCTTCTAAAAAGTTTTTTGTTGAATTGTCTCCCTTTTTTTCTTCTTTTTTTCCCCCTTTTCTTTCTCTCATTAAGAAATTTTTAGGTTCTTCCTTTTAACAGCTTTTAACAGTCATTAACTTCACACTTAGTTGGGTTCCTTTTGTGACACTTAAATTAGATAACCATTCTAGATGGTGATAGTATCCAAAGATCTGTAATTGGTATATGACATTAGATTATAGTGTGACATGTGAAATCAATAACACTTTAAAAAAAAAAAAAAAAAAAAAAAAAAAAAGCACGTCCAGCTTACAAACTATCAATGATGGTTGGCAAAGATTAAAAAAATTAAATATATCCCAATCATCGGATGGGGATGTACCAATCACCTCTCCAGATTCCCATGCACGAAGCAGACTCTAGACAAGATGGTGATCAGCATGGCATGGTACACTATACTAGCGAATACATACCACTTTTTGAAAACTTGTCTGTTTAAGGAATATACATACCTTTCACTCCCCTCATGGGTTCGATTCTCATCGGAGGTACTATTTTTCGATTCTCATCGGAGATACTATTTTTCAATCATTCTTTTTTATAATATTTTTACAGCCTTTTTTTATTGGGGAGTGGGAGTTTAATCCAAATTTGAATTACAATTTGAATCATAATAATATATGAAATCAGTTTTTGAGTTGCACGAAGTGCTGCCAAAACTTGTCTTAAAGTGACAATGACCTTTAGTGGGACTAATTTGGGATATGATCCCATCACAGTTAGTGTTTTACATCGCTCTGCATGCCTTACACACTGGTCAAAAAGCGCTATCAAATCCAGTGAATCACGTGGGGGGGGGGGTCGCCTGTCCTTTGTCTCACTTATCTTTCTCACCTTGGTATTCTAGTCCATCGGTATCAACTGTTGACCCCAGTAAGTTGATTAAGGCACAGTTAGTTGACAGATAACTTGAACATTGCCCTAAATGATTTCGACTTAGTTTTGTTGAGAGTGAAACAACTGTGAAAAAGAAATCCAGCTCGCCATCTCAAAACAGGTAGCGATAAGCATTTTTCTGGGGAAGGGCTCGTTTTGAGATGATACTAACATCATTTTCCTGATGAAAATGCCCTTCCTTGAAGTCGTCTGTCAAAAATGAAAGGGCACACGTCAGTCCGATTCCCTTCACCGTTCTCTCTTGCTTTCTTCATAGATCTTTCAATACTCGGGCTTTCTTTGGGACGGTGTAGATATAAGAAAAGAAGGAGTTCAAATAAAACTGAACAAACCACAGTCGAAAAGGCGCTTGGGGGATCGTCGTTTTGAAGTGTATGACTATGAGGGAAGGAAGAAGAAGGCAATCATCGCTGGGGCGGCAATCAATTGATCAATGCTGAGATTCAAAAAGGTGGCTACACAATCATCCAAATCTGATCGGCACTGTCCAACTTATAGATTAATATATAGTCAAGAATATTGACATGGTACCACACCCTCTATCCACAACTTTTTTCAGTTGGATGAAGTCGTTTTGAACCAACGCGTCCCGACCGATTGGGGCAAACATGAAGCCTGAGAGGAGGAAGGAGGAGGGAAATGAAGAGCAGCAGGTCAGTATGAGAACCGGGTGTTGGGCTTGGTTGTAAGGAAAGACGAGATAGAATCATTCGGATTATTACGTACCAGCCAGTCGGGCCGTAGTCCAACATCCCTTTTTTAGTCCTGAAGATGCACTATTTTTAGAAATTGCTATTCTAGTAATTCCAAAGGACTTGATAAATATTTTTATGACATTTTAATAAAGATGACATGTTTTGTAATAATTGGAATGGCCAGAGGCACAGTCTTCAAACATGTATGAATTATAAATAGTGCACTGAAATAACTGTGTGAACAAGTGGCAAGAGTGTTATCTTGCTATCAAAATTATTCCAAAGCATGAAATGTTCATCCAAATTAACTAAAAGATATTTATACCTACCTTGGAACCATTGTGATTGCATGAGTAACACTCTTGCAACTTGTTCTAAGCACAGGGTTATTTCAGTGTACTATTTATCATTCACACATGTTTGGAGACTGTATCTCTGGCCATTCCAATGATTCCAGGATTGAGTACAAACCCTCTGAGTTTTTGCTGCATTTGCAGAGCACTGTTGTTGCTGATGAGGATATGTCTATACTTTGTAAATGGTAGTTTTGTTGGTACTCTATGAACACTGGGTTGCAACTCCTACTGAAAACACAATAAATAAATTACATCTGACTGAGTAGATAAAAATTAAAATCTACCAATGGACACTGCCACACATTGCATCCTTACAGTACTGAATGTAAACATGTAATCAACTGAATTGTTGTGCACCCACTACTTGCCTATTGTGATCAGAATCAGCCCTGGTGCATGTGATCTATGCTCTGAAACCAAGTCTTGCTGCTCACATGCATATTCCCAAACAATTTTTTTTACAATTTTTTATATTGATACTAGTATATGCCCCCAAATCTGGGGAGGCTGCTTGTTTTTGCCCTGGATGTTGGGGGTTTTACTTGATATGGGGTTTTCTTGAGTTGGACACCTGTCTGCCATGGTCTAACGCCGGTGTCGACAAATCCAACAAATGTGAATTGGAGGTTGATGCCAGTGTTAGATTGCATGGCAGTTTGTTTGGGCCTCTGAGGCTATTTTTTTTAGTTATACGTGGATATTACATTTCACCTTGGACCACATTGGAAAAATCCTTGGGGTGTTTGCAGAAACTTTGGTTGTATATAAGTGTGTTTGGGTTATTTGAATGAAGATTTCATACTTTGGAATCATTGTGATGGCATGAGTCACACTCTTGCAACTTGTTCACATGGTTATTTCAGTCCCATGTTGGTAATTCACACATGTTTGAAGACTGTGTCTTGGGCCATTCCAATGAATCCAAAGCAAGGTATAAATGTCAAGTTCCTGGGTTATCTGGATGAAGATTAATATGACCTAGAACCACATGTCCATAGGAAGGTGCTTAAAGTGTAAAACTAGAATATATTGGACCTCTTGTTTCAAATTTATTTCAACAGCAGGCCAAAAAAAAGTCATTCATGTCAGACCTTCATACTTTTCTACTTTTAGCTCAACATGAACTTTCATATTTTCCTACTTTTAGCTTAACATGGAGAAAACACTTGATTGTATTGACTCTTAGTTACAACTGATGGAATCCCACTCAGAGTTTATGATGCATAAAATATAACTTTCAGTATGTCAAGTGCTCAAAAAGAAGACATTACAAACACAAATAGACGGAAATGAGAGGTGAACACTGTATTCATTCAATCCCTTCCTTGCTCTTGCCCCTCAATTAAATCATTCAACATGGTAGTAGACAAAACATTCTCCATCTGTTCCAGGTAGGCCTGTTGGCCATCCTCCTCATCCTCCTCTTCATTACCCTCATCCTCTACATCCTCCTCATTATTGCCAGGATTAGGAGGCTCCAAGGGCACTCTTTCAACTCCTGCAAGAACCCCATCGTACATATCCCCAGGTATACCAGAGAAAAATCCCATTCGGTGAAGCCAATGGATGTGACTTATCTGAACCTGCCAATCATTTTGAAGATTACCATCGTCGTTCTGAGGAGGTGTATTCCTTAGGACCTCAACAATCAGTGGATCCCATCCCAGCTGCAAGTCCATGATTTCGATATAAGCTGAGTGAAGTATTGACCGGATACACTGGAGCCTATCAGACAAGCTGGTGTTCGCCAGGAGGTAAGGATGTCCTACAAGCGGCCGAAGGAGTTCTGGTAGGTTGTCGACCGTTGTTTGCTGATCTACTGAGAGCTCAAATAGCAGCTTGATGTTGGTTTTTAGTTTGTTATGTCGGTTGATCGCCCATCGCATCGCCCTCCGGGTTTCCCATCCAAGCCGACGGATCTCTTCATTTCCTCGATTCATGCAAGCCAGGTGGCGGATTCCTTGCTGAGTCGTCAGGTCAATTGCCCAGGCTTCATTTGAGTCAGAAAAGAAGCCATCATTCCAGAATGGATCGTCAGATGGCAACTCTAATAGATCGGCATATTGTATAATGCGTGGAGCCGGTCGTGTAGGATAATCTGCAATATATTTCAACACTTGCTGGGTGTACGATTCCAGAACTGTACGTAGCTGCTCAGCATGTTTGTGTAGCAAGGCCATGAGCTTTTGCTGGGCACGCGTTCCTGTGTAAAAACAATTAATGAGTTCATTCTTTGTGATTAGGGACAATCACAGTGAGCCTACCAAGTGAACTTGTCTCTCCAGCACGGCGGACCCGTACCAGTGGCTGCTTCTCCTCAAGTAACGCCAAGAACTTCTGTCGCAGTTCTGTTTTGTTGTACAAGATCATCATTAATAGGTCCCGTTCCTGTTCTAGAATTTTCAATGTTTCAAAATAACATGTGGTTAGTTTTTGTTTAAGGGTCAGCAAGGGTAACAGTGAGATTTACCTGTCTCTACACCTCCCTGCTCAATTTCACTCACAGCCGTCATTAATGCCTCACCAATCAAGGTTCGCTGCTCAGCAATCTTCCTTGTGAGTGTAGCACAGGTAGTTGCACGAGCAAGTGCTTGTTCAGGAGTGAGTGTCACATTTCTCCTGAGATGTGACCACATAACAAGCAATTAGGATATATGTAGTAACCATCTAAGGAAGATCAGTATTTGTGAGCTTACCATGCAGTATCCAGGGCTTCTTCGAGGCATAACAGCCGTCCAAGTTCAACCTTCTGTTTCTTGACACTTAGATTAGTCCGTCGATGATATTGCTGCTCCAGTTGCCATTGTTCTGCAAAGAATTGGTTTGTGTAGTTCTGGCCAGGAGTGAAACGGTTGACTTTGGCGTGAAGGGTTTGGAGCGCGAAAGTCGAGGCCCTGACTGCATCCGTTGCATAAACTAATTTTTTACAAAGCCAATCGGCTGGGGGGGGGGGGTTGTAATTAATTTGACATCAGAGTGTTACTTGAATGATTGGAGTTACTCACCAGAAAGTTCCAAGAGTTGTTCAGTATAGTACTCAGCTCGGGCTTGTAGCTTGGTGAGCCGATGAAGCCGAGTTGAGACCCGAAGTGGAGAAACAAGTGGTGACAAAAAAGACCACAGACGCTCAAGACCTTCACCATCTGATAATCCCCACCAATCGTTCAGCCGAGGGTTGTATTTTACTTGACATGACCATTCATGTACAAATGCATGGAAAACTGAAGTTCCGAACGTCAGGTCATTGATGCGGTCGGTTAACAAACCCCTCTGAGGTCATCAACCAGTTGGTTAAGCAGCTCCTAGTCAGATTGGCTGCAAGCAAATAAATGAAGAGATTTTGATTATCTTACCTTCCTTACATGACTCTCGAGATGGCACCCCAGGTCATACAGAATGCCAAATTTGTGGTTGGGGAAGTCGGCAATGATATTGCGTACAATGGAAACTGGATAATATAACCTATCAAGTAGACATACACATTTAGCTAAATGTCTGATTTCAGGGGGAATCATTTTGCTTACTTTTCACCTGTCTGGAATATGTTGGCAAAGAGCAGAGGGGCATCGTGCCGACATGCACTGGCAAATAGACCGTTATCATCACATTTCTCCCAGCTTGTGCCGCTTCGAGTGTCGTTTGCAGCTTTATGGGAATCGGAACACGGGGGCTGGAGGATACCAATTTTAAGCCATAGTTTTTGAACAGTTAACAAGGTCACTTACGTCTATTCCTACAGCAGCTCCCTCAGTAGATGCAACTGCTTGAACATCAGTATTGAGCTGGGAGGGGGCAAGAAAGTCAATAGGATACTGATCCTCGCCAGGATTGTCTCTACTGGCATGAGTATAGTGTCGTTGTTGAAAGTTTCCGTCCATAGCTAGGATCACGTCTGGTTCATTTGGATTTGACTTGACCTCATTTAAGCTGGGTCCGAAACATCGAGGGCACTTGTTGGCCCAAAGATCAACTTTGGAGAGCTGCAAACCATCATTGAGAATTTTCTTCTTGCGTATAAGGATTCGAGCAAAGAGATCAGTGCTGAACGTGAATGGAATACGGAGGTTTCTTCGTCGGTATTTGCCGCCACGAGCAAACATTGCTTGATTATTTCGGGGTCCCAAGAAGGCAGCAAGGGCTTTGACAAAAGCTGAAGCAGATACAACGGCTGATTGCCACAAAAAGTGATGAAACTGAACTAGCCGTATTGAGAATGCAGTTCGTGGTCGATCGGCAGACGAAGCAAAATACCCATAGTGAATTAATCGAACGACGTCGGGTAGGCATTTGCAAAAGGAGATGGAAATGCAGGGACGATGAACTACAAAAATGAGGTGGATGGATTAGTCTTTGTTGAAGCAGAAGGTTGTCTGTAGAAAAAGTGACACACAGAGGATGTCAATGAGATCGACTTTTCGTTCCTGAATATCAGCGGGTGAACAGGTACACAACCCAGCAGGTAGCTCAAATGATCGTAGAGGATTTGTCCAGTTCAAAGTTTGATGTTGACACTGCAGGTAAGCCGATGTGACTTGAGTCTCCAATTGAGTCCATTGGGCATTAATCCTCTCTCGGCGTTCAGCGTAACGGCGCATTCGATGATAGCTAGCATGAGCAATCAGAGGGTCATCATCTTCCCACTGTGATTCTTGGTGATTGTCTTCAAATGGTTGAAATGGTATTGCATCATCGGCTCCGTCTGTCTGGTTCGCTGTCTGGTTCACTGGATCGTTGTTTTCTTGGTTTGTCGGTGTAGTCAGAGGGGGTGGGATTTCAGGAATGATTCCTAGCCGCTGGCCATCGCGGATATTTTGATCAAAGCGAGCCTGGTCACGTATTTCACGTGCAGTTGGTGCTGTGCGGAGTCGAGGACGGCGGGAAGGTCCGTTGTAGACCACGGTCACTATTCGATTGCCTGTCGTGCGAGCACGAGTATTGCGAGTCATCCTCAGAGTGGGTAGGGTAGTAGCGTCCTTCGTGCAGTATTGGCGGCCGTCGTCCTGGGAAGAGAGGGGGGCGGCCTTCGCAATTGGTTGTCGATGGAGCTACTTATTTGTGGTGTCGAGCTCTTTTCGTGGGCTGGTGTTGTCACGACTCCAAGGCAGAGTCTGGTTTTCTCACGACTCCGAGGCAGAGTCGGGTTTTCTCCGGGCCTGATCCGCTGTTAGTGGAGGATCGGACAGCCATCCAGGCACTTTCGTGCTTGTACATATGTAAATGGGCAGCTGTGTAAAGCGCGCGGGCGAGGGATTGCGAGGGCTGTATACCCCCCCCTACATAGGCTCTATTCGACCTCGACCTACCCTATGTAGTAGGGCATATATGGTCGATTGGGGTGCGATTTTGGGAAGATCTATCATACCCGGAGTATTAATCACTCCTGAAAACCAAAGAGCGGGAAGGAGATCAAGAAGTCAACGAAGGCGATCACCCTCAAATCACCATGCGGAAATCTGTGGAAATAATTACTAGATTGTATGTGCTAGTGTGACCTGAGATGACCCCCTAACAATCAGACCAGCTCATGATCGAGCACTTGACTACTAGTAATCAGGGACCACTCCAATGTTGCCAAATTGCATCCATTCTCCAAACACAGAAACACACAAATTAACATCCTCAAAGTCACGGTATACATCATAAGGCATAGGCAGAAACAACATCACAATTCTGCCAATCCCCTCATTCAATTTTTCAAATGAAAATCATTTTGGATTATTATAGACTTATGACTGATTCATGAGATGAAAAGGTCTTTGGATTGCTATATACATCAGATTTGATTGTTGTCTTTCAAAACACAACAACATCAGAATGATTGTGATTTGTTATCATGCACGTTCAGACACCTTAAAGTGGGGGGAATACCCAATTAGTTAGTGACAGTATTCAGCATGTTTCTAATTGAAGAGAAAACTTGGTGCCTATTGTCTTATTTATAGGTGGCTTTTGGTTTCAAATTCCAGCACTTGGCTACTTCACACCTCACAGAAAGGTTTGATTCTTTTGCTCAAATTATTATGTTAGTTTGATACATTTATCTGCTGTTCTCTCATTTCTTTAGCCTAACTCTTATCATGAAGAATAGGAAAACTTCAAGAGCAACAAGTTTGAGAAACTTTTTTTTTTTGAAAGAGGCTACAATATGATCATCATGTTTTGACAGATGGGAGCATAGATCAAAAGCTTTTGACTTTGCACCTGGCTTGGGTGTTTTACAGTTCATGAATACACTTCCTAGCCATCAACACCTTTTTCCTTTTGGAAAAAAAAACAAAGATATCTTCACATCAGTTTGCCTCTCATATAAAGAGGTGTTTCTACATTGGCTGCACAATGATCACTTTGCTCAACCCTTTGCTGATTGAAGAAATTGCATTGTTGGCACCACTTACATTTTCTAGCTACACAGTGATGATTGCAAGATGCGCTCAAGAAATATTCAGAATTAATCCTGGGATGCCTAGGATGATCATGTATTTGATCACCTGGGGGAATTTAATTCAGCACTTTTAATCATTTCACAAGTCGAGTCTTGAAATGTCTGTTCTGAATAAAATTTAAAATTGTCATCTCAACCCTTCAGGCCTCTGAGTGCAGGATAGTATATCTGTCTTGCTCATTGTCAAGATCAAGCTGATCAAACATCTCAGGTTAGTCCTCTTACTACTCTATCGCGGTATCAAATTTCCTTGAAATCGTCAAAAAAACCGCAGGCTTCAACTATACAAGATATAAGCTAACATTTGATTAAATCAAGCCACCTTCATTTCCACATACATTCATCGACTGCTGGACGGTTTCTTGTATAGCCCACTGTTTTTCCAAATCAATATAAATTACAAGCCTTACTTAGGTACGTCAACTATCTGCTGTGACCAGATACGACTTTCCGATTCGCATTTACAAGGGTTTCTTTGCTCGGTCTGAATTCTCGATTAACTCACTGTTCAATCAAAACCGAAAGAAAACACGAAAGTGAGTTAGTGCTGGTTTCACCATGTCCCTTGAGGCATGTTGATCCAGTATCACGTTTTTTACAAGACAGGATGATGAAAGTCATCAGTAACTTACCCACAAGCGATATACTTTGCCTTGAATAGATCTTCCCATCCTTTCAGATTTTCTTTATCTTCGTCAGTTAAATCGTCTAACGTATCGATCTTTGAATCAACCGGCGTTAGGATGTTTTCATCAAATGATTGCTTGGCGAGCCCACGAGATGCGTCCCTTCCTGCAAAATTACCGTAAGGTCTTGAAAAACATTTCATATTGACAATGCGAAAATATCAATCATCTGGCAGATTGTTGAATGATACTTGAACACGTTAAATCACTTACCCGTCTGGACCGTAAAAGTTTCTTCCAGATGATACATCATAAACCACTCGATTTACGGCAAACAACTGTTGGTCACAAGTAGCACACAAAAAAGAAGCAAAGCGTGGTTTCGTCAATTTCATCGGCGCAAACATGGAGTTTGGTCGCAGGTTAGCAATTACTCACAATTTTGCTGCCATTATTTCCATCGAAATGCTGTAGTTCCAAGGGGGTATAGGTCCTCCATACCAGAGTCTCAGGAAATTTCGTAGGCCTCCGATGGTATTCGATTGCGCTCTCGGTTAAAGTTGCTTTCGGATTGTTTTCGTCATTCTCGTTGATGTTCAACTCATCGAAACGAAATGAAGGTATCAATTTGTACAATCGATAGACTAGTGCTATCGACAAGACGATGTTGACCGGGTTGGAAAATTGTTGAAGGTTGATGAGGGACTCTAACATTGCTGCTGAGTGTTCTTCATTTCGAAGATCAATGACCGCGCCGATCGACCAGGCAGAATTTGGAGGGTTAGCCGGGGAATCGGGTGTCGCTAACCCGGGATTCGGGTGTCACCTTTGGGTATTTACAGACCGGTGGGTTGGAACTTGGCAGATTTGTTTGCCAGACATGGGAATGGGATCACAAAACACAGGCTTATCAACCAACACAAACATCCTCAAACATTTTTAATGCCCCTCAACTTGTCTATGGGGAGGCTCAGATCCCATCGAAACCAAATCAGTCCACAGCCCCTCCAAGGTTTCACTTAAGAATGCCTTAAAAGATACACAAAAACAGGAGGATGAAAAAAAAGGGGGGGGGATCATGAACACCTATCAAATGTGGTCTACAAGCAAATTTCCAAAGAGGAATGAAAAGTAGACCCCAGAAAATAGAGGCCCCAAAGCCTCAAGTGCTTATGAGCAAAACCATAAGATACCCAATTGACAAGGACATCTCGACCTTGGAATTTAAAAATATAGGTTTTGAGCAAGTAGAAAAAGGAATTACATAATTACTGTTGTAGATTCATAATTACTTGAATTCCACCTTATGTGTACATGTTAAAAAAATGAAGAAAGCCGCTAATCTCCTGATGACAACTTGAAGTAGTTCTGTTCACAACTTAAAGTAGTTCTGCGCAAGGTCTTGCGACGTGTGGCGACGCTCTGTTTTTGGCAGGCCCATGAATTCATTAACTACTTATGATCTTGAGGTCGGGTCTTTCCCTTTGCTAAGCTTGAAATTCTTTGAGTTTTTCTACCCTCCGAGATCAAACCGATCACGCCCGTTTCCAAATCAATGAAGGGCTCAAAGACGGGGGCTTGAGATCTATTGGCCATACCAAGCTTCGAGCACAATAGCTGGCAACACAATTCGGAGGCTCATGTCTTCGAAACTGCCCTTCACAAACCTGTATGCAGAACGGGGACTGCGTCCGGTAAGCAGATGGAATTTAGATGCGCATCTGTTTTCAACATCAGCCTTGCGCCTTCGATAAATTGACAGCTAGAACGACTGGTGTACACTGGTAGTGAGGTTGTGTAAATAAAAACTCAAACAGTCTAGATTGTCAAGAAGCCAATATGTATAACATTAACGAGGCTCGGAGGTTGGATTTTGATTGCTGGAATGCTGCTACCGAGATGGCATAGATGGTAATGAGGGTGCAAATATGAGTCGTTACTAAATCAAAAAGGCCGATCAGGAGTTTGTAACAACAAAAAGCAAGAGTCTTCAGAGTCCTCAGATGGATTACGATATTAATCCAATTGTTGGCTCAGCCTATATAAGCATGGTGTGAGTCAATTTGAGCAAAAAATGTTAACCGGCGAAGCTGATGAGCGGGGAGAATGAAACTGCTGGACCGATGACCAACGGGCTGTCCAAGAGACCAGAACGATGGTAATAAAGACGACCGTTCGATGCACTCAAGTCTGCGCGAGCTTTTGACCGAGCTATTGATACTCGAACGTGGGTGGCGGATCGAAATTCCATGTAGACAAGTATTATGAAGTATTATTGGAGGTGTAATGTTTAAGAGCGGCAGGTTATCGCCTCAGTTCAGATTTGAATAAACAGTCGTATATAATATAATAGCAGGGAGAGCACAAGGAAGTGCCAAAATTATAATCAAAGTAAAAGCACTTCTTCAAGAAAAAAAAAGAAACGGATATGGAACGAGATTATCAAGCTGATGCCTTACGTAGGGATGATAATTAATCTATTCTGAGGCTATTTGTGTACTTTATATTTTATCAGTCGGTCTATATTGTCACGTAGGCTCGTCACTGGTCCAGGAATGCAAGTCTCGGCGTAGCCGGGCGGTGTGTTCGTATGGCGACTGGCCATCCGAAAGACTGGCCCAACGTTCCGCATCAGATTGCAGCGCCTGTTCCTCGCTGGCTTCCTCCCCGCAGGTGACGTTCTGTGGAGTTAGTTGCAGATCCTGGCGGCTGACCGAACTTGATCCTTCGCCAAATGCGCGTGCTAGTCGAGTCAAGACACCGGTCGAGCCTGGCGTGGGTGGCTGTGCCATGAACGGATCGGGACCAGTTTGAGAACTACTATCGGCTCGGTGCCCATCATCCTCTGGAGTGCAGAGATTGAATTGTGTGAGCACCATGTCTAGAGGAAGAAGAATATTTCTCAAGAGCAGAAAGGAGACACAAAAAAGAAAGCTTGGTCTCATACCTTGTGTTTTGGTTTCGATTACTGGGCTTGCTGCGTCCGTCGCAAGGGTGAGCATGGCTTCGGTCTCCTCTTCGATCAAGCCTGAATTGCTGTAGATAGTTAAGGCAAGCCTCTGACGAGTGGTTTGACTGATCGAATCATCGGGAAATACCGTCGTCTCACTCAGGGTAGTATGAGGAGGAGACACAGATATATTGGATGGGTCAGCAGCCTCAGATGTTGAGGGAAGTGCAGTAGGAGGAATTTGAAATTCAGAAGACCGGGTACTGCGACGGATCGAGTTGGAGGTCGCATTTGAAGGATGTCTGTGGGAGTGAGGGAACATAACGCTGAGAGCCCGACCACTTCCGCTTCCACTTCGACTACCTCCTCGCCCGCTGGTACTATGTTCTGTGAGTTCAGGTATAGCGCTAAGTCCAGTATCGTATGAGTCGGTCGTATAGCGCTGTTCGGATTGGGAAGGAGATTCGAACTCCTGAGGTTGAGGGGAAGCTGGGAAGGGGGGGTCCTCGAAGTAACCTGGTGATGAGGAGTGATCCTCCTGCGAGGAAGCGGAGACAGCGGTGAGGCCTTGGACTTTTTCAACAGAGCCATTCTTTTCGATATCCCGGTCGACCAGAACGGTGGATTGAGCCGACGACTTGGTTGATTTTCGATGAAGATCTGGTGGCCAGGTTGTATGGAAAGGCCTATCCAGGAATCTATACTGATACCACGCGCCAAGGAACCTATTAATGAAGGTGAGCCTAGTCAAATCTCATAGACTAAGGAAGCCGAGGTTTGCTTACATACAGGCCCAGCTAACTGGCAGGAGAATGCGGGTTGCTTTGGGTGGGTTATAATTGGCTAAATCCTGTTATCAGAAGGAAAAAAAAAAGAAAAAAGAAAAAAAGATCGGGATGAGTGATAATTAGAGAAGGACAGATAGTGTGAAAGGGAGAAGGAAGAATGAATGGAAGGGACAGAACCTGGGCATGGTGAGGGTTATGATCAAACAGGAAACGGATACCGCGACTCATCCCATCGTTCTCGTTGACCAAAAGATCGATTCCCAGGAAAAGTAAAAACGCGCCAGAGAAAGCGCAAGCGGTGGATGAGCTGATCGAAGGTCGACAGATGATGGTGATGAGGCCAGAGATGGAAGGCCCGATGGCAAGGAAGATGGATCGGCTGAGGGTATGATGGATGGTGAGTCCGTTTGAGAAGATCAAGATTGAGATTGAGATGGCTAGACCGGCTTGGATGGACGATAGGAATAGAGCGATCGGATAGCCATGCTGGCCGATCAATAAGCTCAAGGAGAGTCCGAAGAAGAAAGTCCCGGAGACTAGAGCCCAGATGATGATATTCTGAGAGTCTTGGCTGTATGATCGACCGGTGATACCGGCGATGCCGGCCAGGTTAATAGATAAGGCCCAGGTTGGGAAGGCGATGGCAAGGGCGAAAGCGACTGAGGAGTAAAAACGGGGGAGGGCGCGTCCGAGCAGGAGGAGGATCAATCCAAGGATGGTAGTGGGTATGGAGAATAAGAGTGAGCTGAGTGCGAGGCGAGAGGGGGAAGTACCACCAGCGGCGGTGGATTGTTCGGGAGCTGGCGAAGGCTGATCGGTGGAGGAAGAGCTTGAGGCAGGAAGTTGGCGGGGAAGCAGGCTGGGATGGGCGAGAGGACGAGTGGAGGAGGATAGCCGGCTAGAATTGTCGAGGAGGGTGAGGCTGTGGGCTGGTCGATGCTGATGATGAAGGAGGAGGGTTAGTAGGACCAGTACAGCCAGGGTGATCGAGCCAAGTCTGCTGGCCATCATTAATGGCGTTGGCTGGATGGACTGTACATAGTGCTGCAGCTGGTGGGGCGTAAAACGAACTTGCAGTCCCTCCGAGGAGGACCCCCGAAGGAGGGACGTCTTGGATCTCAAGTGGGCGCATTAACTGCTACATAGAGCTGACGGAAGATACACGGCGGGAGCGATCGATGAAGATGCAGGCGGTCGATGGGTCGTCTGTGAAGGATTGACGGGAAGAAACCCCCAAATCTCTGCGCGTGGGCCGTCTAGGTCGTATTTCCGTGATGAGGCCCCTTCCCAGACCGTCCGAGTCTATTGTACGGCATTTGAGAAGACTGAACCACAGCCGTTTGACGGCGTGGTCCACTGATGGTTAAGTTGGTCCCTAATCCGGGTATCAGTCTGCATCCTCCCCTCCATCGGTCACATGGCCCGATGGCCTCAAGTACCTCTGCCGTTCTCTTATCAGACGGCTTGATCCCCGTGAAATTGCAACCAAATGGGCGGTCAGAGTCTGGTATCCACATACTTATCTTCTTAAATGTGTTGACCACCATCATTTAAACTGGAAACCGTGATTTTATCAGGAGCTTGGTGGGCCAAGCGAGGCAACTTTTTCCCTTGCACACCTAAGCCATCACACAAAGAGAGTAGGTCCCCTCATGCGCACTGTCGCCCTGATTTCCTCCCTATCCCAGAATATAAATATCACTCTTAACCTGCCCGTTTGTTTGCAGCACTGACGCACCCCTCCCCCAACAGCCGATTCTTGCTAATCTCTGCCATGAAGCCTCCAGTTGGCCTTGCCGAGGCTTTGCCTCAGTTTCCTTGCGTATTGGACCCTGTCGCCCTTCGAGTCGAAGTGGTTGCTTGGTTCCAGCGGGTTCAATGGGCGCACACCCAGCTGGTCCCCTATATGCGTGATTACAAGTTGCTCAGCCACTACGCTGATCGCACTCATCAGGATGAGCATTTCAACTTGTTCTTGTTTGGCATGCCCGTTGCCACCCGTGCGGCCATGTTGAAATCCCTACTCGATACCTTCCAGGTACGTCCTGGACTTGCTCCTTGTGAAGTGAGTTCATGTGGAAGCTGATGATGTTATTGATTTCTTGGGGCAGCACGTTTATACCCTCAACCATCATATCCTCCCTTCGGATGATCCATTGCCACGATTGCTGCTGGAATTTGGCATGCCAAGAGTGGTAAGTTGTCTGTATCTATGTTTGTATCTCTCAGTTTGACACATAGGCTCACCGGCCTCTTTGTAGCTTTACAACGCCTTGGAACAATATTACGAGCGCAAGAAGCCCTTGCCAATCTCGATGGGGGACACCTTGACCGGTCACGTGCCACCCGCCGTCGGCAACCTCATGGAACTGGACGATGAGGACGAAGTTGTATCTGTGGCCTCGCCTCTGGAAAACTCAATGACGGTGCCACCAGCCACTGTCTTACCAAATGTTCCCACGCAGACTCCCATTCGCAGCCCGGAGCTCTCTCCTAGTGAGAGGGAACTTGCCATCGCCATCACCACACTGGCCCCCGAGGGCAGCGAGGACGAGCCACCAACCATCACCAAAAAAACAGCCCGCCAACTCCTCCATCTCATGCGTGGGATTCTCGACCGTAGTTTGTCGCAACAAAGATGGTTCGATTCTCAGAAGAAGCAGGACCACAAACAGTTTTGCAAGGCGCTTCTGAACGAAACCCACAGGCATCAACGTGAGGTGGACCTCATCATCAGGGCCCGACATTACCAACTCAAGGATCAAGGGATTCAATACTCCGATGCCTGCAATGAGATCGACAAGTTACAATCGGCGATGGCTGAGTTAGCAGTAGATCTAGGTGTGAATGATGAACCGGATGCCTAGTTATAGATCATGTTAACTTCCTTATGTAGTCGCTGCATGTGCCCTTGATTCTTCTGACTTCCTTACACGACCTTACCTTTGAATGGTTTCCCCCTGTTTGTTGAGGTGGATGACAATTACCGTATTGATCCAGTGACTAACTCTTCCTCCATCTGACGTCCTGCTATCAATATGCCTTTGTAGTTTCAGTCAACTTACCCACCTTTTTAGATATTAGCTATTACCCTGATTGATCCCCACTCATGAGTTCGGTATTGCTGCAGATTAATTAGCTTGTGTACCAGTGGCTATTCAGAGTATTCCAAGTAGCTTGATAACAGCCCCCACTCTCACTCTCCCCAAAATATAGCATGACTCATTAGGGCCTATCTGCACCAGATTCATCAGCTAGTGACGTAAGCGACAAACAATGTGGCATCCTGAAATCCATTCCAAGTATTATCATGTCTCCAGAGATATCCATTGCGTGAGTGACCAAATTTTCACCGGCTTGCAAGCATTCCATGGCCCTGCAGGAGTACATCGTTCAGTTGTAGAGTCCGCACCCATGATGGGGAGATCTTCATCTCAGACGAGATGGTGCAATTCAAGCTATTGGGAAGCCGTGTTGGGGACACATGCCAAGAGGAACCCAACCTCCGCCACTGACCTGAAACTGCACCAGTGCACCAATATCTGTCAATCTGGAAATCTCTTCGTTGCAAAGTCATGAGTCAAAATCCTTCCTTCAGTCTCCCGGAGGACCGGCACCTTGACACCCACTGCAGCGCATCAAACACCCTTGATCTAAACCCTCAGAGCTCCGAATATCTGCCCTCATCTCCGGAAATGCAGGAGTTCAAACGATTTTTTAGCGAAAAATCCAATAGGAGAACTCAACCAGCTCCCCCTGACGGGGTCGACACAGACAAACCTTCAACCAGTGAAGATGTGATCAATCATGGATCTCGTGGCCCAAATGTGGATCGTCCATCCAGCCCCTCAACTGGCCAACAAGTCAAGCGCCGGCGAGTAATAGGCACACATGTGGACTCAAGAACCATAACAACCGAACAAAAAGATCGACATGAGAGTGATTTCCACAAGCCACAGGCAAACTCCGCTTCACCAGAGTCACCATCGGGCCATGACGAATGCCCTGCAGAAGGTCAATTTTCTGAAGAGCAAAATCTCGCATTGATTGCTTGGTTTCATCATCTCATCTGGAAGCATTCTTGCAAAGATGCAACTTCGCCCACTTGGATGCCCTTCAAAGATTACGTCAAGAAACATTACGATATTGAAACTTTTAACCCACAACTTGCGGTTTTTACGCTCCAACATAGGAATTCTCAGTACGCCATGCTCTGGCAGAAATTCAAGGTGACTTCTCTACATGTCGCAATGTTGGGCTCTGTTTGGTTTTGCATGCTGGGACGCTGACATTCTGTTATCACATAGAAGGTTCGCGAGTGTACTGATTCACCGGGCAACAACTTGGAGAAAATGCTTTCAGAGCATGGGCTAGCACCCTCCGTAAGTTATCACATCATCTCCTTGGCAGCGGCTGGCTTCTGATCTACCATGACTCAGCTCTATTGGGCCATGGTGGATATCCACTGTGGAATGAGACCCACAAATCATGTCCTTGGAAAGGGGCCCATTTTTGCGCAGAGCGATGATGACGATAGTGCCGAAAGAGCCGGGACCGACCAAACGATTCCTGCGCACCCCTCACTCGCTCCAAATCTGGTCAATATGGCTCCCTCGGCTTCACACGGCTGCCCAAGCAGGCAAACGATAGGGAACTCCTTGGCGCACCTGTTTGCCGGCCAGCGATCGGACCCATTCCCGTCAATGGGTTCAACATCTGACTTGCTAACTTCACTTCAGCAACTTGTGACACAACCTGCACACGATTCCTGTGCCTCCGATATCCAATTTCATAATGACTGTCTCCAATCCTTTAAATGGCAGGTTGAAGAACATATCCGACATCACGAAGAGCAGCGAATCCATCACGTCAACATGAAGGCGCTCCTGAGTCATCAGAAGGAAGTTATTGCCAGACACCAAGAGGAACGCAGCCGTGCTAGCACACAAGCAACCGAGTTACGTTCTTCGCTAATCGATCTGATCGCAAAATTCTCAGGCCAAAGAGAAGGCTCAAGTAAGGAGAGTTAATGTTGCTTAGTTTATCATGAGGCTCTACTTTTGTTGGAAGCCCCATCTATCGTACAAATATATAAGATTTAAGGCAATTGCATGACTAGCATTGACAAATTATGCAGTTCTTTGGGTAGCGGGGACTGTCTTCTACTGGCCAAATTATATAATACTTTAATATCTTTCAGCCTGAAGGGGTAATGATTATACAATCACAGCTGATTTTTGGGTAAGCATGTATCAACACAGAAACACACTGAATGTTTAGGGGGTGCGCCATATGTGAAGGCCATGATCAATGGCTGTCTGCCAACATGTGGCATCAACTGGAGGAATAGCCAAACCGGCGAGTTGCCGGTGAGACTCAATTGAGTGCAAAGACGAAGAATTCAAAATGTACCACTGATCATCGGTATGATGGATTTGATTTCGACTGGGGGAACCTTCAGCCCCCTCAGACGGGGTGTCTGTCCGCGGAATCATAGGACATTGGCCAGAAACGCAGTCGTGTTGGGCATTCAGGCACGATTTTATATCCTATGATGAGTATGAGGGGCCTTCCACTTTGTTAGCCAGCTTCCAAGCCCAAAGGGATATTAAAGACGGCTTACAGTGACAGAGGCATATCTGGTCTCGTGAGTATTCTGGAGGATCCTCATCTGGTAAAATGGGTGGACCGCCCCCAGCCGAAAAGTGGTCGTCTTCAGCACATATCGGGTTGGATGATCCCATTCAATCTGCCAGAGGGAATCAACGCGACCAATGACTTGGCCGCTAGCGAGGCCACCTGGGGCAATCTAGGATTCTAGCCACACATTGACCAAATCATTGGTCAGTGGGGAGCTGATAGTGTCGACTTGGTTGGGAACAATGTGACTGACCAATACAAAGTAGCCCTTCTTGACCACATCCTTTTTGCTCAATCTCAGCTGCGAAATCTGCTTCACTCGTGCGCTTGGATACTGGTTGAAGTATGTCGGGACCATCTGCTGATCGGCCTTGGGTAGCGGGGATTGGATGATAGTGGGAAATATATGCGGAGGTGAAACCAACGAGTGATTATATCCCATGGACTTTTGGATGATTGGATTGCTCTTGAAAAGATTGGTCACTTCGCTGGATGCATGGAAGGCAAGACCGGTTTTATGATTCACGAGCTGGGCATTGGAGACAACCAATCGCAGGGCATGGAAGTTAAGAAAGGAGACTCCCAAATCCCTTCCAGGTCGGTGCCGGTTTGAATGGACGGAAGCGTGACGGAGGACACTATTAAAACTTTCAAATTTCTCAGTGGCAAAGAGGCATGCCGGCCCAAAGCGTGCAATGGCCTCGACTAGGTGCTTCAACATGTGAAATTTGGGCTTATTGACCCACTGCGCATTCGTGTGGATGGCATGCCATAAGAAAATATCAATGTGTTTTCTCAATTCGTCCAAATACTGTTGCATGTTGGTGATGCGTGTTTGGAATATATATGTGGCCAATTGGCCTAGAGCAATCCAAAGCCTCTGCTGGGCGTCATCCATGAATTGGTATAGCACAAATGGGGCGGTTTGCAGGACGATCTTGAAGTCTTTCCCGACCAAAGACGAAAAGTGTTCGACAAGGTATTTGGCTTGGATAGAAGAGATATTCAATGCGTTGATGTTAAACGATTGCCAAGACGCTAGAAGTCGATCTAGTTGTTTGACCTTTAACGATTTCATGAAGTCGCAAGTAACGTATTTGACAATCCCGAGTAGGAAAACGTGTAAGATCTCCACCGGGGTATCTCGACATCCATCAAAGCCTGAGGGTTCACATGGTTTATTCATCATTGGACTCCTTAGTTAGCACGAGCACAGTTGCAGGATAGTCAAAACAATTGCTGACCAAGTAATCTGAGAAATGGGTTGAACAGCCGCGTCAGGTTGGATTGGGCCAACTTCGACACTTCCTCTTGGGCTTCCACATTACCCTTCTGTTGCATCAACTCCACAAAGCGGCGATTGATGGAGTCACGGATCCCAATTCGCTTGGTTTCATCATCAAAATGACACTTCACCCCCTTTTTCCCAAGCTCCCAAAGGTCCTTCGTTTGCAACTGAATGGCTTGCCATGTTCGACATGGCGGGGATTTCTGTGAATCAGATGAGTCAGGACGTCTCTACTGAATGTATGTTGTCAGAAGGCAGATTGGCCTACATAATGACCCGTTGCATCAATGTGCAGAAAGGCTCGGACGTATTCCTCTGTCTTCTTCTGTTCCATACTCGGCGTATGTAGGCAGCAAATGCGACATGGATTCAGGCTCACATTTGGCAACGGCGTGTTGGTCACCTTGGCGTGCATGGGTGAATCCGCTTGGAAACACAAGACTACACTCATAATTAGCACATCGCATCCTATGGAAGCATCATGTGCTACACAGCCATCTGTGGCAAGCATGCTGAACCGTGTTCACCATTGGGATGATGGGTGAGTTGAAGAGGTCACCTCGTGATCAATCAGGCTGCAAAAGGCAAGTGCTCACTTGATTTCGTCCACAATCTGTTCGCCAATTTCCAAAACGCCAGCTTCATTAGATGTTGATAGAAAATGGCAGTTATACTGCATATTGGACATTTTTGGAGGGAGCCCTGCTAGAGTGAAGTAGAATGATATGTGGCGATTCCACTGCTTGGAAACATTGCCAGACGTATCATCGGCGTAAAGGTTAATTGGCATGTGACGGATGACTTTCCCATCAGCCTTGGTTCGCCAAGGATTGGGCAGCTGATGAGCTGGCCGTTCGTCATTTGTATCTGCTCCGGCCCACTATGTCAACTGCAGCACACTTTTCAGTCAAGTTGAACGGCCAAGGGGCTCGTACTCACCCAAAATTCGTTGCCCGCACAAATCAGCCAGTGTCCCATGGGTACCCATGATAATCTCGGGATAAGTTTGTCCCAACTCCAAAACGCTCACATCCACCAGGCCATCAGAATCAAAGGAGACGCCCAGGGGCATGCAAATCTCGATTTTCAGCTCAGGAGACTGCGTCTCAAGCACCTGAGGTAGGGCACATCTCGCATACATGTCAATCCCAGATTTGTAAAAGAACACAGGCACTACCATTGCACCACTTTTAGTGAGGGCTGGTTCGAAAATGTAAAAATGCTTATTCTCGACTTCAATCATCTGCACGCGTAGGGCCGGGCCAAGCTCTTGGAGCCATTTTTGGCTTTGCGAGCATTTGTAGATTTCGCCTCCCCGAGGATCCTCCGGATAAAAATCCAAGAGTGGACAGACATATGGATTTGATAATTCCTGATCAGACATAAGAAAGACAAGGGGTGAGTGTCAAATGTCATCAATCCCGGAGGCTTCAGTACGGACATGCCCAAGAATTTGTCCCACGCTCAGCGCGTAGCACTCCTGCTTCCAGACACTCTTCTTCTGGCGTAATTCGAGCTTCAACATTGACCGAATCTCTTCTCGGGCATGTTGAAGTGTAGTCCAATGTGGGAGTCTCACCCCGACTAGGGTTAGTATGAGCCGGATTTGTGCATACACATTGCGACTCATGATGTGGTGTATATATCCCACTAAGAGGGAGGCAATCAAATACTGCACCCCACCTTGGTTAGCAGACCAATCGGCCAGATCCTTGACACGGATGGAGACCAAGCCATATACAGATATTGACATACCTCCTTACTCTTGAAGGGATACCACGACATGTGCTCGGAGGACTGGACCGGCTTCTTCATGAAATTGGTTGGAATTGCTTCATCGGCCAATTGATTGACTGCCTCAAACAGATAGTCGTCCCAATCGATTTCCTCATTCGCACCCTCTACTGGTTCATCCGTGCCATTGAATGGCGTTCCATGGTTAATGTCTCTGAAGGTCAAAAACTCATCAGCAGAGCCATTGTCCAATACTTCAGGATCCAGCCCAATGGCATCAAATACCATCTCATCAGGTGTCTGAATTGTTATCGGTGCTTGATGGACCTCCGGCCGCGCCAACGGATTCAGGATGTTTCTTGCATTTCTCTCCTGAACCAATCTTTGATGCAAAGGACTTCGTGAGTGGTCGCGATAGCTTCGTGTTGCTGCCCTGCCAACGCACAGTCTGCACCTATATTTGGTATCACCCACCGCCCCCCGGATGATAATAAAGTCTGATGATAATATCGGCACCATGCACACAACAAATTGTTAACTATTATTTGGGTGACTATTGCGTGAAGCAAGAAAAACAAGGATTTACCGTCCAATTCAGACATGGGCTCTGGTGCACTAGTACTACAATGATCACGAAAAGGCAAGAAAAACCTGTGGGAGGAAATAAATGCACCAAACCCAGATGGCAGTGACTGTGATTGCTGGCCCTATGGACTCATCCAGATTCCCACATCGGGAATATACAGAGGTATACCCCATGCCCCCCTTCATCCTGACCCTTCAAGGGACTGAGGGGGACCCTGGGCCCTCCGGGAAATTACTTACCCAGATGAGCCAATGATATCTTTGAACTATTGTTCACAAGCTCACGGCTTGGAACCAGTTCAACACCATCACCTCAACAGAGTCAGTGATTTCCGAATGGGGGCCCATGGCCTCAACCTCACCTGTTGGGGTGGACCAGACCCCGTTTGACTGAGTGTGTGGCCTGGGCCTGCTCTCTTCCCCGCTCATGGGGATTTTCTGCAGTGGGCCGAGCACATCTGATGCTTTTGTGGCCAGCTCGACATTGGAGCAATTGGATCAACGCTATCTAATGTGGTCACTGCGATGGGCCCAAATCTCATCAAGCGTGGCCTGTGAATTGGACCCTGATAACATGGTCAACTCGCCGAGCGATCCAACTGCTCTTTATCCGTCTCAGATGAGGGCCTGCTCTCTTCCCCGCTCATGGGGATTTTCTGCCGTGGGCCGAGCACATCTGACGCTTTTGTTGCCCGCTTGACATTGGAGCCATTGGATGCACGCCATTTATCATGCGAATGTGGTCACTTTGCGATGGGCCCAAATCTCATCAAGCGTGGCCTGTGAATTGGACCCTGATAACATGGTCAACTCGCCGAGCCCTCCAACTGCTCTTTATCCGTCTAAGAGCAGGTCCAGATGACCGGATCACCGGAACCTTGGTGTGATTCCTGTGTGATGAAGGAGATGTGATGCAAAGGCTGAAACAACCAATCAGAGATAAGAGCAAACAAGGAACAGTGACGTCTGTCCAGAACCGAAGTGACATTTGATCTTTCGGATGAGCAAATCACCCAAGTCCTGATTGCCCTGCAGGTCCTGATTCCTTTATAAGAAGGCCCCGTTCCGCAAACCTCATCTCCCACCAATCCTTCCTCCTGCCTCACCCAAGCGACCACCAAATTGTTCCCATCCGCCTGAATTGTGGGCCTGTTGTGCGATCTGGCCATAAACTTGGGCTTTTTCTTTGGTCCGGTCCATCATTGACCTGTTGTCCTGGTCCTGAACTTTCCCCTCCCCCATCTTTCTTGCACTGTTTTCCTTGCCCTTTTGCACCATTACCAACGGGTGATGAATCCCACGATGACTCCCTCTCCTCTCGGGCACATGGGTCAACGAGTTGCTCAGGGCTCCCTTCAGGCAAATAATAGTTCGCCTACCGTAGCTACTGGGATATCTAATTCCAGTATGTCCACCACTTTTAATCACTTTATGCTTGCTGCGTCTATCCTGAGGCTGATGTGGATCTCATTGGCAGATCGTTTCAATCCTCTCAACTCTACCAGCCGTATCCATTCGTTGCTTTCCCATCATGATGCTGGTCCTAGGGCCACCCTCGATACCACCAATGGCTAACATATTCCTTCAGGGGCTTCCAACTCTGGTCGGCATCAACACTCACTCATCAAGGTGGATCATCAGCA